TTATGTTGTATGTGTACCTTGGAGTGGAATTGTTAGTTTTAGAGTGTGTCTATGATCAACTTGAGTGGATGATGACAACATTACAAGATGATTTTCTCACTTTACTCTCCTACCAACCGCACATTAGTGACATTGTATCTTTGCCAACATATGGTACTGCTATTTTTTTCTAGGGGACTTGTACTTGTCTTTTGATTTTTATTTGTATTTGTCTAATTACTCATGTGATTGAGTAAGTTATATTTATGGGTAATTTGATGCCCTCTTTTCTGACAAATTTGTTCAAAAATCCTGCTGATTATTTTTATTAAGATATCTGACATATTTATTTTTCGAAGTTCTTTATTCTGAGTGTAAGCCCTTTTATGAGTCACACGTATTCCACTGTGTGGATTGCCTTATTAATTTGCTTGCTTACTTAATTGTTTTGATCACTAGAATTTTAGCTTTGATTCATTAATTGTGGAAATTTTTGGTGTCCTGTTTAAGAAGTTTTTTCATGCCCCAAAGCCATGATGATGTTCTCTTTATTGTCTTCCAGAAATGAGTCTTTCTTTTTTCACTTAGATCTACAGTCTACCTGTAATTTATTTTTGTATATGATGTGAAGTGTATGGTTCACATTTTGTTCTTTTCCTATGTTTATCTACATATCCAAGTGTCATTTGTTGAAAAGACAGTCCCTTGCTTTTATGACAGTGTATTTGTCATAAATTAGCTGTCTATGTATGTGTGGGTCTGTTTCTACCTGTGTTATATTTTATTGTGCCTTAAATCTGGATAGACCAATTCCTCCAATGTTGTTCTTTGTTCTCAGAAGTGTCTTGATTCTTTCTGGTCTTTTGCATCTTCAAATGTGTTTTAGAATTGTCAAGTTCCCAAAAGTTATTATGGAGTTTTGAATGAGATTCACTTTAAATTATAGGTGATTTGAGACCTATAACAGTATTATACCATCTAATCCTTGTAAACTGCGTATCAGTACATTTATTTAAATCATTACATTTTACCAATAAATCTTTACATTTAAATCTTTACATTTTGCCAATAATTTTTACAATTTTCTGAGTAAAGCTCTTGTACATGTTAAATTAGAATGTTCCTCATCTGTTACTTTTTTATATCATAAGCAAGCAGATAATGAAAAATTTATTCTATTGTATGCAATCAAATTACCAAAAAAATTAATAAGGCAAGCTAAAGAGAGTGATATAATTTATGTATTTTTTCAACTTTTCATTTACTAACGCTTCATTGTTGGTGTAGAGAAAAGTATGTGATTTTTGTGTTTTGATCAACTCCCACTTTCTTTTGATTAGCATTAGATTGGTATACCTTCTTCTATCCTTTTACTTTTCCCATATTTGTATCTTTATATATGAAGTGGATTTCTTATAGAAAGTATATAGTTAGGTTTTTTAGCTTTTTATCCAGTCTAACATCTGTTTTTAAATTTGGTTATCCTAGCCATTGACATTTTTTTTGACAGGCAGAGTGAGAGAGAGAGAGACAGAGAGAAAGGTCTTCCTTCCGTTGGTTCACCCCCAAAATGGCCACTATGGCCGGTGCACTGCACTGATCCAAAGCCAGGAGCCAGGTGCTTCCTCCTGGTCTCCCATGCGGGTGCAGGGCCCAAGCCCTTGGGCCATCCTCCACTGCCTTCCCAGACCACAGCAGAGAGCTGGACTGGAAGAGGAGCAACCAGGACAGAATCCGTCGCCCCAACTGGGACTAGAACCTGGTGTGCCGGTGCCGCAGGTGGAGGATTAGCCTAGTGAGCCATGGCGCCAGCCCTAGCCATTGACATTTAATATGCTTGTTTACATAGTTGAGTTTAAATCTACCATATTTCTATTTGCCTTCTTTTTTTTACCATCTGTTATTTGTTCCCCTTCTCATATATTTCTATCTTCTTTGAATTAATTAGAATGTTTTTATGTTTCCCTTTTATCTCCTTTTGTTGGTCTGAAAAAATATCTTTAGCATATACATTCACTTGGTTGCTCAATTCAGAAACTCAGAATTAATTTTAGTGTCCTTTTCTCCATCATTTTTCTGTATGCTTTATTTTTAGATACATAACCCTATTTTAAATGCTTTCTTTCCAATCTTTACTGCTTAGTTGCTTTTATTCATATGCTTGTCTCATTTCTCTCTATTTGAAGTTATTTCTTTACTGGTTTCCCTTTCTCCATACTTCAAGACTGATTTAAGATTCAAATCTAGGGGGCTGGTTCTGTGGCAAAGCAGGTAAAGCCGCCACATGCAGTACTGGCATCCCATATGGATGCTGGTTCAAGTCCCAGCTGCTCCACTTCTGATCCAGCTCCCTGCTAATGCTCCTGGGAAAGCAGCAGATGATGGTCCAAGTCCTTGGGCTCCTGCACCCACATGGGAGACCTGGAAGAAGTTCTTGGCTCCTGGCTTTGGATAGGGCCTGCTCTGGCTGTTAGAGCCATTTGGGGAGTGAACCAGTGGATAGAAGATCTCTCTGTCTCTCTCTTTGCCTCTGCCTCTCTGTAACTCTACCTTTCAAATAAATAAATGAATCTTAAAAAAAAAAAAAAGATTCAAATCTGGGGACCAGCATTGTGGCATAACAGGTTAAGCTGCAGCCTGCAGTACTGACATCCCATAAGTCACAGCTGCTCCACTTCCAATCAAACTCCCTGCTAATGCACCTGGAAAAGCAACAGATAGTCCAAGTCTTTGAGCCCCTGTACCCTTGCGGGAGATCTGAATGAAGCTCCAGGCTCCTGGCTTTGGTCTGGCCTAGCCCTGGCTGTTGTGGCCATTTAGGGAGTGAACCCGCGGATGTAAGACCTCCTTCTCCTTTTCCCTCTCCCTTCCCCCCTGCCCCATGCTCCCAACCCTACCCTTAGAACTCAGCCCTTCAAATAAATAAAATAAATCTTTAAAAGAAAAAAGATTCAAATCTGATTAAAAACTTTCTCTAGTCATCTAGAACCTCTACTACAGGAAGTTTACATGAATCTTGTTTACCAGATAAATGTCTTAATGTTTTTATTCTTTTCTCATGGCTAAATCTCATCTGTTTGGCCCATCTCCAACCACTTCACCTAACATTCTACATTCTTTTTTATTTTTTTAAATTTTATTTAGTTGGAAAGGTGGACTTACAGAAGGAAAGGGAGAAGCAGAGAAATCTTCTACCTGCTGTTTAACTCCAAATGGCCACACCGGCCTGGGCTGGGCCAGGACAAATCCAAGAGCCTGGAACTCTATCCATGTATTCCACATGTGTAACAGGGCCCAAGTACTTGGACTATCTTCTGATGCCTTCCAAGGTTCATTGGCAGGGAGCTGGATGGGAAGCCAACCAGCAGGGACTGCAGCCAGTGCTCTGATATGGGATGCCAGGATTGCAGACAGCAGCTTACCCCACTGCACCGTAACATTAGCCCTTTGGTGTTCTACGTTCTAATGATATTTACCTATTTACTGCCCAAACATACAGAATGCTTTCTTTAGCATCCATGTTTTTTGCTTTACTTGAAATTATTCTTCAAATCTTAGATCTCTGCGAAGCTTTCTTTATTGATTTTTGGCTAAATTAGGAGTTTCTACCTCTCTGATTTCATTTTACCTTCTGCATTCCTCATTGAGAAATTACATGTAAAGGAAATTATTCAGCTGTAATTCCATTCCTTCCTAGAAAATAAGCTCCCTGAGATTCAAGGCGTCTTAACCTTAGATATACAATAATTATTTGTTGAATGAAAGAATAATTGGATAGTCACAGCGACTTGTAGTGTATTAGTTTGCCCTATCATTCTTTTATTTTTTATGTTTTTTCCCCCCTGGGGAAAGATCCCAGAGGATTCTGGAAATACCCCCTACTTCCGGGAAGTAGGCTCCCTTTCCCACAAGTGGCATGCTCTCTCTTCTTTTATTTATTTATTTATTTATTTATTTTGACAGGCAGAGTTAGACAGTGAGAGAGAGACACACAGAGAGAAAGGTCTTCCTTTTCTGTTGGTTCACCCCCTAAATGGCTGCTACGGCCAGCGCTGCGCCAATCCGAAGCCAGGAGCCAGGTGCTTCCTCCTGGTCTCTCATGTGGGTGCAGGTCCCAAGGATTTAGGCCATCCTCCACTGCCTTCCTGGGCCACAGCAGAGAACTAGACTGGAAGAGGAGCAACCAGGACCAGTACCCAATGCCCCAACCGGGACTAGAACCCTGGGTACCGGCACCGCAGGCAGAGGGTTAGCCTAGTGAGCCACGGCACTGGCCATGCCCTATCATTCTGTGGTCATAGCTTTTTCTATTTTTTTTAAAAAAATGTTATTTATTTATTTATTTGAAAGTCAGAGTTACACAGAGAAAGGAGAGGCAGAGAGAGAGAGAGAGAGAGGTCTTCCATCTGATGGTTCACTCCCCAACTGGCCACAACAGCCCAAGCTATGCCTCCTCCAGGTCTCCCACGCGGGTGCAGGAGCTCAAGGACTTGGGCCATCTTCTACTGCTTTCCCAAGCCATAGCAGAAAGCTGCATCAGAAGGAGAGCAGCCGAGTCTCGAGCCCATATGGGATGCCGGAGCTTCAGGCCAGGGCGTTAACCCTCTGCACCATAGCAGTGGGCCCCATAGCTTTACTTTTTGTTATTCACCCAGCACATATTGTTTGCAGCAGTCACATGGGGAATTCCAAGAAGATTTGATCTTTGTGCCCTAGGATCTTACAGGTTACAATAAGTTTTTCCCAGAGTCATATTTTGAGGGGTAAGACCTGATGTGTGAAATTTGAAATAAAAGAAAGTTTATCAGTAATCAACATTTTATGAGTTAGTAGTTCTTTGCAGACATTTTTTGCTGGTAAAATTAGAAAACTTAGGGTGAACTAGAGAAAGAATTTCCTGAGAGCACACATTGTTTTTCCTCTTATGTAAAAAGAAAAATAATTGAGTTTAATGTTAGTGATTAAATCTGCTTATAGAATACATAACATGAAGAAGGTTTACTTTTTTTTCTTTTCTATAGGTGAGACCAAAGCTTAACTATGAAGAAAAGTATGAAATCCTAGAATCTGAATTGAAATCTTTAAGGTAAAGTGAATTAAAACCTTTATAATTGTAGCAAAAGTATAATGATCTGAAAATATATTTGAATGTTCACTGAACTGTCAGTTTTACTCAATCTTAGAATTACCTGACAACATTTTCTTTATTTAACAGACTAACTGGCTGGCGCCACAGCTCACTAGGCTAATCCTCCGCCTTGCAGCGCTGGCACACCAGGTTCTAGTCCCGGTCGGGGCGCCGGATTCTGTCCTGGTTGCCCCTCTTCCAGGCCAGCTCTCTGCTGTGGCCAGGGAGTGCAGTGGAGGATGGCCCAAGTGCTTGGGCCCTGCACCCCATGGGAGACCAAGATAAGTACCTGGCTCCTGCCATCGGATCAGCGCAGTGCGCCGGCCGCAGCGCGCCGGCTGTGGCAGCCATTGGAGGGTGAACCAACGGCAAGAGGAAGACCTTTCTCTCTGTCTCTCTCTCTCACTATCCACTCTGCCTATCAAAAAACTAAAAAATAAAAAAATAAAAAACAGACTAACTGACAGCCAGAGACACAGCCGGAAAACTCACATCTACTGGTTCATTCCCCCCAAAGAACCAAGACAGCTGTGGATGTGCCAGGCTAAAGCCAGGAGCCAGAAACTCAATCTAGGTCTCTCATGTAGTGACATAAACCCAATTACTTGAGTGATCAACCACTGCCTTCCAGGGCATTAGTATTAGCTAATTAGCAGGAAATCGGAGTCAGGAGCCGAAGCTGGGAACCAAACACAGGCACTCCAATGCAAGACATGGTCATCTCAACCACTAGGATAAACACTCCCAGAAGTACTTGATGAACTTGTATATGCAATAGGAAACATTTTCTCAGATTATTAAAGGGTAAAAGGTTGTAAAATTGTGAGTCCTTTTCCAAATCCCACTTATTCATGTTATCTGTTGTAAAATATTTGTATTTTCTCATAGAAGTAAGAATCACTAGCTGCCTTTATGAAGTTATGTGTTTGAAGTAAAATAGTTAAAAATAATTCAGTTTTCAAATTATAAATAATTTTTTTCTCTGCAGATATTTATCTACTTTTAAAATTGCAACAATAATATAATACTTTGAGTATTTGTATACTTAATGCATTGGAGTATATATGATGAGTTTTCACATACTTTTTGTAAAATCTATGTTATAAATCCTAATAAAGCCTAAAAATTATAGGTTAAGCATTGGTGCTTCATGTAGAAAAAGACATCAAATATCAATTTATCATTTTTCTCTTAAAGATTATTTTTATTTATTTATTTTATTTTATTTGAATGACAGAAAGACAAAAAGAGAGACAGGGAGATCTTCTGTCCTCTGGTTTGCTTCCCAAATACCCACAGCAGTCAGGACTGAGCCAAGCTAAAGGTCAATCTGGGTGTCCCACAAAGGTGTCAGAGATCCAAACACTTTAGCCTTCATCTCTACTTCCTAGGGCGCACATTAGCAGAGAGCTGGATTGGAAGTGCCACTCCCAATATGAGATGTGGGAATCTTTTTTTTTTTTTTTTTTTTTTGACAGGCAGAGTGGACAGAGAGAGAGAGACAGAGAGAAAGGTCTTCCTTTGCCGTTGGTTCACCCAACGGCACACCGCACTGATCCGATGGCAGGAGCCAGGTATTTATCCTGGTCTCCCATGGGGAGCAGGGCCCAAGCACTTGGGCCATCCTCCACTGCACTCCCTGGCCACAGCAGAGAGCTGGCCTGGAAGAGGGGCAACCGGGACAGAATCCGGTGCCTTGGCTGGGACTAGAACCCGGTGTGCCGGTGCTGCAAGGTGCTGGATTAGCCTAGTGAGCCACGGCGCCGGCCCTTTTTTTTTTGACAAGAGATGTGGGAATCTTAAGCAGTGATTTTCTGTTGTGTCAAATGCCTGTCCAGGTTATTTTAAAATAATGACAAAAAATATTTTAAAATCAAATATATTTTAAAATAAATTCTTTTTTTAATTTTTTTAATTTAATTTTATTTATTTTTTATTTTTTGACAGGCAGAGTGGACAGTGAGAGAGAGAGACAGAGAGAAAGGTCTTCCTTTCCATTGGTTCACCCTCCAATGGCCGCCGCGGCTGGCATGCTGCGGCTGGCGCACCGTGCTGATCTGATGGCAGGAGCCAGGTACTTATCCTGGTCTCCCATGGGGTGCAGGGCCCAAGCACTTGGGCCATCCTCCACTGCACTCCCTGGCCACAGCAGAGAGCTGGCCTGGAAGAGGGGCAACTGGGACAGAATCTGGTGCCCCAACCGGGACTAGAACCCGGTGTGCCGGTGCCGCAAGGCGGTGGATTAGCCTAGTGAGCCGCAGCGCCGGCCAAAGTAAATTCTTAAATTTTATTTTAACAAGTCGAATCTTATAAAATCTTCCAGGCCATATGCTATCTAGACACCTAAGTAGAATTATACTAAAAACCAGAACTCATGGCTTGTACTGCATATAATATTGCTATTTTTTTAAGATTTTTATTATTTATTTATTTGAAAGGCAGAATTACAAAGAGAGAGAGAGAGATTGAAACTTCCATCTGCTAGTTTACTCCCCAGATGGCCACAACATCTAGGGCTGGGCCAGGTGGAAGCCAGGAGCCGGGAGCCAGTAGCTTTTTTCAGGCTTCCCACATTGGCTACAGGGGAAGAAGCACTTGAGCCATCTTCTGCTTTTCCCAGGTGAATTAACAGGGAGATGGATCAAAGTGGATCAGCTGGGAATCGAACCAGCACCCTTATGGGATGCTAGAGTCACATGTGGCCACTTTACCTGCTGTGCCACAATGCTGGCCCAGCTCATTTAATTTTAATATACTCTGGCTTTTCATAGCTTACCATGATTAGTGTAGTATTTCTTTCAAGATTTGTTTTTTATGAAGAAACCTAGCATTTTAAAAAGTCCAATTTTTTTGTTTTCTTGCTTTTTATCTTACTTTGCTACATTTTGATTTCTATTGTGATTTGGTTCTTTAGTTTTTAATATAATCTATGTCTAGATCATTTTAGTCACAAGACTGTGACTTTTTCTCATTCAGAATTCAAATTTTCAGTTTAATTACATTAAAATATTAAAACTTGCCATAGACTAAATTGTGTTCTCTGCACTCTTCTGTTTTTTCGTCTACTTTTAGCTTAATATATGATTATTTTAAGAGGTATTTTGTTGGGGCTGGCATCATGGCACAGCAGTACAACCTGCTGCCTGCAGGGCCAGCATCCCATATGAGCCCTGGTTCATGTCCTGCCTGCTCCACTTCCAATCCAGCTCCCTGCAAATGGCCTGGGAAAAGCAGCAGGAGACGGTCCAAGTGCTTGGGCCTGTGCACCCACATGGGAGACCTGGAAAAGGCTCCTGGCTCTGGCTTCAACATGGCCTAGCGCCATCCATTATAGCCATCTGGGGAGTGAACCAGCTGATGGAAGATCTCTCTCACTCTGTCTTTCCTTCTCTCTGTAACTCTGACTTTCAAATGAATAAATGAATCTTTAAAAAAAAAAATGTAAAGAGACATTTTGTTAAAGTCACCATTCCCAGAAACTCATGACTGTAACATAGCTATTTATTTTTAATTTTCTCTTTTTGACATTTCTAGTTTTTATTGGAATTTTTTTCAGTTTGAACTTGACAAAAATTCCTTAGACTTTGGAATGTGTTCCAAAGTTCTTTTCATAAAAATCAGACTTTTTTTTTTCTTTTTTCCAACTTCAAATTGCCATTAGATTTTTTTTAACCCTTATGCAGCTATGGATCTTTTCCACTTTCTCTGAACTGTTTGAAAGTCCTGAAAATCCCAAGAGTATGACAGCCAAATATTGACTTGTTGACTTCTCTGTGACACTGAGCAAGTTAAGAGAGCTGTAGACCCCTGGGCATAGAACCTCTGACAACAGGGAAAATAGTGCTGGAGATAAAGTGGCTTCCTTCATTAGTCCAAGAACTTAAGGGCAACTGTCTCCTGTTTGAGTTAGGAGGTTGATTTTTAAAAAAAAAAAAAAATATGCACTAGATGGGGCCAGCACTGTGGCATAGAGGGTAAAGCCATCACCTGCAGTGCCAGCATCCCATATGGGTACCAGTTTGAGTCCTGGCTGCTCCACTTCCAATCCAGCTCTCTGCTGCGGGCTGGGAAAGCAGTAGAGGATGGCCCAAGTCCTTGGGTCCATGCCCCCACGTGGTAGACCTGGAAGAAGCTCCTGGCTCCTGGCTCCTGGCTCCTGGCTCCTGGCTCCTGGCTCCTGGCTTTGGTTTGGCATAGCTCTGGCTGTTGCTGCCATCTGGGTAATGAACCAGCAGATGGAAGACCTGTCTCTCTCTCTCCCTCCCTCTCTCTCTCTCTGTCTGCCTCTGCCTCTCTGTAACTCTGCTTTTCAGATAAATAAATACATCTTAAATACACACACACACACTAGGATAGGGCTGTCTAGACAAGCAAGCTTAGTTACCCAGGTTGACTTTACTGAAGCATTCCGAAGGAGGAGGAGGACAATATACATCTCATTTGTTAGTCACTGGGAGAAAAACCTCTAGGGGAGCAGTTGGGTGGCAGGACCACACAGTAAAAAACAAAGAGCAAAAATCATACATTCACACCCCACACATGAGGGGTCTTTTAAAAGTTCATTGAAAATATGTATGTGGGAGCCAGCTTAACAGCAAATTAATCTGATTTGAATCGGGGCTGCTCCACTTCAAATCCAGCTTCCTCCTAATGCAGGGGGACATTAGATGATGACTTAAGTGTTTAGGTCTCTGCTGCCCCAATGGGAGACCCAAATGGACTTCCTGGCTCCTGAATTTGGCCTGGCGCAGCCCTGGCTGTTGCAGGCATTTGGACTAATGGAAGATATCTTTATTTCTCCTTTTCCTTCTCCCACTCCACATTTGTCTTTCTGTCTCTGCTACTCTTTTAAGTAGGTAAAAATAAATAAACATTTAATATAATAGAAAGTGTGTAAATGAAGAAGCTATACATGGATTTCAAAAAAAAGTTTTTGTACCAAAATAAAACTGTCATTTAATTTATTGTCTATGAACTTTTCAAAGCTCTCTCAAATACACACCTGACACTCACCTCATTCCCCAGCCCTTCAGTAAGTTACATGTTTCCAGTAAACAGCTGCTACTTTTGCAATCTTATGACTGGAAAATTATTGTTTTTCTTAAGAAAAATGGACAATAGTAAATTAGATGTGGATAAAACTCGCGTTCTTTATGTGAACTTTTGAGGTACTCTGTACATTTTAAGAAGCTACATTTTTGAAATAGGTTATTTCTCCTACGTTAAGCATGCCCTATTACGTTACTGCACCCCTTTATTAAGAGAAACAGTTTAGGATTTGTATTTGGAGTTTGTGTGCGTGTATCTGTGTGTGTGTGCATGCATCTGTATGTGTGTTGTTGATAGAGGTAAGATCCTTTGAAAAGACAGCCAATATCAGGTAGATTCTAATTTGTATAAAATCTTATACAAACCACAACTAATTATTTAATATAATGAAATTTTTTTCTTTTTTCTTTTTGGATAGGCAGAGTATACAGTGAGAGAGAGAGAGAGACAGAAAGGTCTTCCTTCCATTGGTTCACCCCACAAATGGCCACTATGGCCAGCATGCTGCGCCGATCCAAAGCCAGGAGCCAGGTGCTTCCTCCTGGTCTCCCATGCGGGTGCAGGGCCCAAGCACTTGGGCCATCCTCCACTGCCTTCCCCAGGCCACAGCAGAGAGCTGGACTGGAGGAGGAGCAACCAAGACAGAATCCAGTGCCCTGACCGGGATTAGAACCCGGTGTGCCGGGGCTACAGGTAGAGGATTAGCCTGTTGAGCTGCAGCACCGGCCTAATATAATGACATTTTATTATATTAAATGTGCCAATTAGGAGAACTACACCTACATTTCAGGGTTGTGGTTAAGAATTTATAATGTCTTTTATATAAAGCATCTCACAAGGTAAACACTCCTAAATGGTAGTGGTAGTTATCACTATGATGAGTCATTTGAAATTAGTGCCTTTACCTGATCTTTCCCTACCATTCTTTTCCCTGCTTTTTAGGAAAGACTATGCTGGATTTCAGAAAAAATATGAAGATCTTAAAGAGCAGCTAAAGCATAAAGAGTCTCTTCTTGCTGCTAATCTTTCTAATCGCGTTGGTGGTCTTTGTTTGAAATGTGCTCAGCATGAAGCTGTCCTTTCCCAAACCCATAATAACATTCATATGGAGACCATCGAAAGACTAACTAAGTAAGTACACTGCCATGACATAGCCTGTGGCAACATGGAAAATTGTGTCTTTAAAGGAGATTGTGTTTTTTTATCCCTATGCTAAATCACATGATTGATGTTAAGCTTCAAATAAAATGAATTCTAAAAGTTTATTATAGCTTTCTTGAAGACAGAATTGGTTGTCTCTGCCAACTGTGGTAACCATGTTACCTTGGACAAATAACTTTTATTTCTTGGTTTCAATCTCATCTTGAGTGAGAGAGTTGAACTAGATAATCTTTATAATTCTTTCTAGTTTGATGATTCTCAAATTACAAATCTTGCACTGTTCTTAAAACTCAGTGTGATAAAATACTACAAATTAAATTCAAAGATGGGAAAAAGTATTTGTCAGATGTAACAAGATTGGTAGGATGTATAAAGATTTTCTTTTGAAACAAAAATGGCAAACTGCTCAGTTATGTAGTGGGTAAAAAAATAGGAACTGGTGAGCAATAAAAGAAGAAATCAATATAATCTCAAAACACAATCCATCAGAACAACAAATTAGGACAACTGATAATCACAGTAGTTGATGAGATCGTGAGTTAGTGAGTATTTGCATGCTATGCTGGTGGAACTATAACTTGGCACAACTACTTTGGAAGGTAATATAGTACTATCGATTACTGTTTAAATTGTGCATTTAACTTTTTAAAATCTGTCGCTCCCCCTCTTCACGGAGGAACGACACAGGACCCTGCACTGTTCTTTTATCTGCTCAGCCCTTCCCGGGTTTGCTGCTGGTTCTTCCCGGGTTGGCTGCCGTCCCTCCACATCCGTGGAGGGGCGGGCCCCCCTGCCACTTTCCCCACTTTCGCAGGGGAGTGGCACACCACCGGCCGGCTCTCTGGGGGGCTGCTCAGGTGTTCTTCAGATAGATGTTCCCCTTAGATGTACCTGGTGCATGTTGTCTCTCTCCTCCTTTATAGTCCTCTTCCACCAATCCCAACTCTGCTACCCACACGCCGAGTACGCTGCTCTCCTCCAATCAGGAGCAGGATCAGCTCCTGCAGGTTATTGGTCGAACTGGAGGCAGCTGTGTAGAAGCTGTTTACTCCTCTCCCAGCTCCATATTGTGGGAGAGCAGATGCATAGAATAAGTCTTAATTCCAGTAACTTAGTCTAGTCCGAGTTGCTCCTCACAAAATCTACCCTAAAGAAAAAAAGCTCATATGTACAGTGGCGCCTTTAAATATTTGGTTATTTATTTGAAAGACAGAATTAAAGAGAGAGAGGAGGAGAGACAGAGATCTTCCATCCATTGGTTCACTCCCCAAATGGCCGCAATGACCAGGCTGGGCCAGGCTGAAGTCAGGAGCCAGAAGCTTCTTCCAGGCCTCCCATGTGGGTACAGGAGCCCAAGGACTTGGTCCATCATCCACTGCTTTCCCAGGCGCGTAAGCAGGGAACTGGATCAGAAGTGGAGCAGCCGGGACTTGAACGGCAGCCATATGGAGTACAGGCACTGCAGGCTGTGGTTTTAACACGCTGAGTCACATCACTGACCCCAGGGCCTTTAAAAGGAAGATTTTTGCATTATTCTTTGTAATGTTGTGAAAGTAAGTTGTGTTTTAGTTAAACTGTAAAATTTTATATATAGTCTAAATGAAATAGAATCTCTGTTCTACAGGAGATTGTCTCTAAAACATATTGCTTAAAGTAAACAACATACCAGATATCCAACGATATACCCAGTTTATATGAAATTGTAATTTTTGAAGTCCATGTACAATCACAGTACAAAATTTCTGTAGGTTCATAATATGTATAGAAAAAGATTTAAAAGAATAAGCATCAAATATTTAATAGTGATATGCACTGGAGAGATGGGAGAAGGCACAGGAATTGAAAATGTGTAACAGGGGGCCAGCACTATGGCATAATGGATAAAGCTGCTGCCTGCAGTGCTGGCATCCCATAAGGTACCAGTTCTAGTCCCAGCTGCTCCATTTGGGGAGTGAACCAGCAGATGGAAAACTTCTCTGTCTCTCTGACTCTACTTCTACCTTGCAAATAAATAAATAAATCTTAATAAAAAAAAAAAAAGTATAACAGGGGCTGGTGCTGTGGCATAGTAGGTAAAGCCGACACATGCAATGTTGGCATCCCATGTAGGTACTGGTTTGAGTCCCAGCTGCTAGACTTCTGATCCAGATTCCCACTATGTGCATGGGAAAGCAGCAGAAGATGGCTCAATACCTTGGGCCCCAGTACCCACACAGGAGACCCAGAAGAAGCTGTTGACTTTGGATCTACCCAGCTCTAGCCATTAATGGCCGTTTGGGGAGTGAACTAGTTGATGGAAGACCTCTCTTTCTGTCTCTCCCTGTCTCTGTAACTCTGCCTTTCAAAGAGAGAGAGAGAGAGAGAGAGAGAGAGAAAGGGAAAGAAATCTTTTTTAAAAAGTATAAAAGAGCAGAGTCTACACTTTAAAAAAAGTTTATAACAAATGGGTCTTTATATTGATAATTTCAGAAACAGAATGTAATAAAAAAATAATTTAAAAGTGAAAAAAGCTTAACCAGGCCAGTGCCATGACTCACTCGGCTAATCCTCCACCTGTGGCGCCGGCACCCCAGGTTCTAGTCCCAGTTGGGGTGCCAGATTCTGTCCCAGTTGCTCCTCTTCCAGTCCAGCTCTCTGCTGTGTCCCGGGAAGGCAGTGGCCCAAGTGCTTGGGCCCTGCACCCACATGGGAGACCAGGAGGAAGCACCTGGCTCCTGGCTTCGGATCGGTGCTCGCTGGCCGCAGTGCACCAGCCATAGCAGCCATTTGGGGGGTAAATCAACGGAAAAGGAAGACCTTTCTCTCTGTCTCTCTCACTAACTCTGCCTGTCAAAAAAAAAAAAAAAAAAGGCAAGCAAGCTTAACCAAATTACAGAAAGAGGCAAAGTTTAAAAACAGGTAGCATAGCAAAGTCAACTAATAAATGAAAAACAGAGAAACAGAGTTTCCTCTCCTGTTGTCTTTCATATTATTCTTCTACCTAATGAGAAAAAGATTTTAAAAGGAAGCTATAGTGTTGGATTCCAAGTCTGGCAGTCATTTAGAAATTAAATTCTTGCTCAGTCATGTATTCCTTTATCTCTATCCTAAATTTGATCTCTTAACCGCTTACAGTAAATGTCAACTACTTAGTTCAATTTTCTGCTTTGTCAATATATCATTGTCTCATGTTCTGTTTTAGTAACAGAATATGATGAAATACTGCTGCTTTTTTGTAAATGAAAATTTTTGTCTATATGATTCCCTTGGCTTAAGCTGGCCTTAAGCTTTTTTCAGCTTATCAATGCAGAATGCTGAATATTGAGTGCTATGCTGACTTTGAAAAGTTCTCAGCACTTTTCAGGTTTGGATTTCCAGTTTTATGTGTAGTTAAAGCCTGACCCTGTAATAAGCTGTTATTGTATCATATCCATATATGATTGTAGCATAGAATTAAAACCCTAAAAATGATCAATCAAGAGTTTCATGGCCTCTTAGAAGTATTATGATACCTGCTTTAAGCTCCCTTATTACATCCTTTATCATGTCCTGTTTTGAATAAATGACACAAGTGACTTGTACAGTTGACAAGGAGAGGGTCAGGCACAATTTTGGGATCTCAGGGAGTTTTTGAAGGCTATATTTAACTGTTTATGATATTGTGTGTGTTTTTAAATTTGATTTGAAGTCCTCATGGTGTTTTTGAACATCTGCTTTTCACTCAAGCCTCTCTGTACCATAATGTATATAAGAGTAACTGTAACCTCTTTTTCTTGCCTAATGATCAAAACACCTTCAATTGGTAATCAGGATGGAGCTGCTTTATTTTAACTTGCTTTCTGAACTCATAATACCTTGGAAAAGTTTCAGTGTACTTTCTGAAAAGGTGATATGATTACCACAGTACTGCCCAGAGACTTGAGTTCAGCTTGTAATTTTGGAGTGGGTCATTGGCAGTGTTCTGTATAGTTGGCTTTGAAAGACTATAGCAGGAACTTCCCAGAAATGAGGAACAAAGAAATGTTGTAGTCAGCCCTCTAGATCTTCTTTTTAAAAAAGTAGTAATAATGCTTATTAATAATACTTAATGCTGCATAAATTGATAATATCATGGGAGAATTTAAGAATTATGAGGCATTTCTTAGGCACTATGTATCTCAAGTTAAAACTCATGCACATACTCATGTATCAGACCAATTCTCCCTTTTGCTTAAATAGTTGGCTGAGATGGTAAAGGAACTTTCTCAGTACTTTTTGCTCTGTTACACTAATTTCCTTAAATATTACATGCTCATCAATGTGTGTAAGTGCATGCTCTTTCACCCCAGAACTCATGCTGTTTACGTCATCAAGTGTGCTTTTGGCAGGATCATGGCATTTTGCAGGACTAATGCTGTTTTGCTTGCTTTGCTTCAAGGAATCCCTTGATCACATTCATCAGAACATTTTCATAGTATTTTCAAGCACTCACTGAGCTTTTGCATTGAAAAATGGTGATTTGTAGAGCTGCTCCCACCCTCACTTCTATATATCATCTGTATTGTGTAACTTCCCATTGTTAGATTCTCACTTAGGCCTAGCTCTAGGCTGGGGACTCTGAGCTGTAGAGCAGGACTGCATCTGACTGAACCTAGAGGCCCTCCTTCCTTTTCCCTCAACTTTGCAATGCTTGCAATTTGGTATATGGTCTGGCAGAGTTAAAACCATAACCAAAATGCAGTAACTGAATGGATAATTCCAAATTGTCAAAATGACTACCTCCAAGCTTCTCAATTTGTCTGAGGCACTAGCTTAAAGCATGTAGTGTGTTTATCTTACAGAAAAGTGGAGTATGTCAGTCCAGTGGTTACCCAGATTTTTAGAATAATCACTTTGTGGTCTGTTGAATGTTGAGCTTAACAGACATCTGTATTTCGGGGTTTATCCTTGGTGATTCTCTATTGTTCAATAATCTAAAGTTATTGAGTCTATATTCTGAAAAATGTTTGAACCAGAGCAACTAAATTCTTTAGGTTCCAGTTCTAAATGTCAGATGACTTTTTCAATTTAGATCAGAAAATATAAGTAATGGGAAGAAGCTTTAGTTTACTTCTTGTGATGCCCTCTTAGAGAAGATTCTTTATCCATTCAGTTTTGTTGTTTATGTCATTGAGTATATAGTGGATGACAAACTCTATTCTTGGCAAGAGAATATTGTGGAAAGAGATTAAGTTTATTAAATATGAGTCTACCATAACAAACAAATTAGATTTTGACCTGTTGTGATGTTTCTGTTAGCATACTTTCAAGTGTTGGAGCTTTTCTTGTCCATTCTTTTTATTTAGAATTTTGTCTTTGATGATGCCATAGTATCAGAAATAGATTAGAATATAACTGAGTAGACAGGCCAGCACTGTGGCGTAATGGGTAATAGCATCCAATATGGGCACTGGTTCGAGTCCCAGCTTCTCCACTTCCGAACCAGCTCCCTGCTAATATGTCTAGGAAAGCAGCGGAGAATGGCCCAAGTACTTGGACCCCTGCACCCACATGGGAGACCCAGAAGAAGCTTTTGGTCTTGGCTTTGGACAGGCTCAGCTCCAGCTATTGCAGCCATGTGGGGAGTAAACCAGCAGAAGGAAGATCTCCCTCCCTCCCTTCCTTCCTCCCTCCCTCCCTCCCTCCCTCCCTCTCTCTCTATCTCTCTCTCTCTTTTCCCCTCCCTCCCTCCTCCCCCTCCCTCCTCCTCCCTCTAACTCTCTCCCGCTAACTCTGCCTTTCAAATAAATAAATGAGTATTTTTTTAAAGATGTATTTATTTATATGAAAGTCAGAGTTACACAGAGAGAGGAGAGGCAGAGAGAGAGAGAGAGAGGTCTTCCATCCTCTGGTTCATTCCCCAATTAGCTGTAAACACTGGAGCTGTGCCAATCTGAAGCCAGGAGCCAGGAGCTTCCTCCCAGTCTCCCACGTGGGTACAAGGGCCCAAGGGCTTGGGCCATCTTCCTACTGCTTTCCTGGCCACAGCAGAGAGCTGGACAGGAAGTGGAGCAGCCGGGTCTTGAACCGGTTCCCATATGGGATGCCGGCACTTCAGGCCAGGGCATTAACCCACTGCACCACAGCGCCGGCCCCATAAATGAGTATTTTTTTAATAAAAGAATATAACTGAGTAGTAACTTTTGGTTTTCACTGAGTATTAGAAATCTGAGAGCTGATTATAAGACACGTGTATTGATTTGCTGTCTTTAAAGAGTAAAGTTTGCTTTTCTTCTAAATTATAAGTCCTATTTGGATTGCATATCTGTGATGAAGCTAATTCCCTTTTATGTTTGTGCTTTTTGGGATTGCAAATAAATTCAAATATAACTGTTTAAACATAAATATGTTTTCTTACTTAACTAGAGTAACTTAACATTGCTTTGATTCTTAGACTTTTTCACATAATCTATTGTACTTTATTCTATCAAAAAAATTTGCTCTTATTAGGAAATTCTAAAGATCACCATGATCCCATGAATTTTATATTTGTAGCACTTCACCCTTTTTTTTTTTTTTAGCAAAAAGAGCTTTTATGAAACTGCTAATAATTGTAACATTGTTCAGTGTTAAGTGTTCTTAAAATGTGGCTGCCTTCCAAATACTACAAATAGCTGAGATTATTTTCCTTCATCACATTTTTTAAATGGAGTTAATTTGGTTAATTCTAAAAGCATTTCAAATTTAAAAGTTTATAAGCTTCTACTCTATGATTCTTTAAAGTTTGCTAAGTTGTTTTTTTTTTTTTAATCGCAGTTGGCTATTTTATGGTAGTTTAGAACTTGGCAATGAAAAGAAAACTGTTTCAGTTGAATTTGAAATCACAGTTTAAAACTTAATTCCTTTAACAAAACATGGAATAGAATATGTAATGGTCCAACAAAGATTTTTCTGCTTTGTGTGTATAGAAATTTTCTCACTTTTCTCTCTCTTTGGCCTCCTGAACATTTTTATTCCAATTATCCTGGAATATTTTGTATGGGATTTATTTAACCTACCAGAATGGATCCTTGCTATGTTACAGGGAACTGAATGCATGCTGGCATTCAGTTCACTTTTACCCACAAAGAAACAGCTTAGCTTAGGGTACTATTGAGAATAACTGAAGTGGGGGTAGGACTTGGTGATGATCAAACCCAGAGGGATGAGACTTTGTTAAACTGTGAATGTTATATGTGTAACCAAGGGATTTCACAGATTTCACACCAGTGCTTATTGAAAGAGAAGAATGTGTTTATGAATATCTGAAAGAATTGAAAGAGAAAGGCAAAAAGAAAACTATAAAGGAAGATAAAATGAAAAGGTATATATTTGCTGTTCAAATAAATGAGAGGAGAACCAGCAGCATAAACATAGCTTTAGTTCTTTCTTAAAAGACTGAGTTTTTAGATACAATACCTAACTTTCCTATTTAGGTGCACTTTTTCTTTTCTTCTTCCCCCTCAAACGTCACCCCAACCCTGCTGTTAAGTTAATTTGCTGTTTTTTGGCTTTGATTCTGTAGTCCCTAATGTGCCAGTTCTCTCCACAACAGGTTATTGTCCTAGGCAGATGCAGTCCTGCCATGAATGCGCTCAGCCTCTCTGGCTGCTCTGCTTGCTGCTCACAAGTCAGGACAGAGGGTCTTTCTCTGGAGTGTGCTTTAGTATGTGCTGAGCCAGCCCACCCTGGCTCTTCTAATACGTATTAACGCTCTTTCCCTCCTGATGTATGAGTATATACTCGTTTGATCATTTCTTGTTTTGAATGTTCTTTTTGTGCTGACAGAGAAAGAGATGACTTAATGTCTGCATTAGTTTCCGTAAGGAGCAGCCTGGCAGATGTGCAGCAAAGAGAAGCAAGCGCTTATGAACAGGTGAAACAAGCTGTGCAAATGACCGAAGAAGCCAATTTTGAAAAAACCAAGGCAAGTTAATAAGATGAAAATGGAGGCATTACAGAATGACTCTTTTCTTCTGAATTGGTCTTTGGTTATTCTTCTATAGCTAAACTCTCTTTTTCGAATGCATGAAGTAATACTAATCTAATGTTGACTTTTCTATACCAAACAAATTAGCTATTTGAAGAAGTCTTATTCTTCTGCAAGTATTCTTGTTAGATCACTATTCTGAGAATGTAGTATAATATGGTAAAGTACTTTAAGAGATTGTGTGCTTAATCTTTTTTTTTAAAGATTTATTTATTTATTTGAAATTCAGCGTTACACAGAGACAGGAGAGGCAGAGAGAGAGAGAAAGAGAAAGAGAGAGGTCTTCCATCTGATGGTTCACTCCCCAGATGGCCGCAACGGAGCTGTGCCGATCTGAAGCCAGGAGCCAGGAGCTTCTTCCCGGTTTCCCATGTGGATGCAGGGGCCCAAGGACTTGGGCCATCTTCTACTGCTTTCCCAGGCCATAGCAGAGAGCTGGACTGGAAGAGGAGCAACCAGGACAGAATCAGGCGCCCCGACTGGGATTAGAACCCGGGATGCCGGCGCTGCAGGTGAAGGATTAGCCTAGTGAGACACGGCGCTGGCCGTACATGGAAATTTTGATAACATACAAAAGATGACAGCATATACATATATTTATAGCATCATTAGCTATAAGTCTGGATTCATCATAAGCTAATTAGATATGTTTAATGATGATGATGACAATAATAAATACCTAGTGATCAGTGTTCCAGGCTATTTTAGTAATAGGAGGTTACTGTCACTCCATTTTGAAGAAACACAACTTAATCATTACAGTTACTGTGTGTTTTCCCCTGCCACACCAGACATACTTCAAGTACTTCAATAACCACATGTGGCTGGTGGTTACCATATTGGACAGTGCAGGTAGAGATTGTTTTCCTTTTTTTTTTTTTTTTAAGATTTATTTATTTATTTGAAAGTCAGAGTTACACAGAGAGAGGAGAGGCAGAGAGAGAGAGAGGTCTTCCATCCACTGGTTCACTCCCCAGATGGCCGCAACAGCTGGAGCTGCGCCGATCTGAAGTCAGGAGCCAGGAGCTTCTTCCCAGTCTCCCACGTGGGTAAAGGGGTCCAAGGACTTGGGCCATCCTCTACTGCTTTCCCAGGCCATAGCAGAGAGCTGGATAGGAAGTGGAGCAGCCAGGTCTTGAACCGGCGCCCATATGGGATGCCAGTGCTTCAAGCCAGGGCGTTAACCCGCTGTGCCACAGTGCCAGCCCCAAGAGAACATTTTCATCATTATCAAAAGTTTTATTAAATAGCATTATCTAGGCTGGCGCCACAGCTCAATAGGCTAATCCTCCGCCTAGCGGCGCCGGCACACTGGGTTCTAGTCCCAGTCGGGGCACCGGATTCTGTCCCGGTTGCCCCTCTTCCAGGCCAGCTCTCCGCTTTGGCCCAGGAGTGCAGTGGAGGATGGCCCAAGTCCTTGGGCCCTGCACCCCATGGGAGACCAGGAGAAGCACCTGGCTCCTGCTTTCGAACGGCGCGATGTGCCAGCTGCAGCGCGCCGGCTGCAGCAGCCATTGGAGGGTGAACCAACGGCAAAAGGAAGACCTTTCTCTCTGTCTCTCTCTCTCTGTCCACTCTGCCTGTCAAAAATAAATAAATAAATAAATAAATAAATAAACAAACAAAGACAAAATAGCATTATCTAGATTAAGCATCACTAATCTGAAAATCTGAGATCCCAAATCCTATGATAGATGAATATCTTTGAATCTGACATGATGCTCAAAAAAACTTATGATTTTGGCACACTTCAGATTTTTATATTAGGGTTATGCAGTTGACAAAGTCTATGCAAGTATTCTAAAATTTGAAAGATTGTGAAATATGAAATTCTTCTGGTGCTATGCAGTTAAGATAAGGAATACTCAACCTTTAGTAACATCAGTGTTTCATTAAAATATTGGGACTGGAGGTGGGTATTTGGCCTAGTAGTTAGTTGCTGATTAAGACATCTGTATCTCATATCAGAATGCGTTGAAGTCCTGACTGTGCTCCTGACTCCAGTTTCCTGCAAATGCAGACCCTTGGAGACAACAGTGGCAGCCAGCTCCAGGCTTCAGCTGCCCTCTGGCTATTGTGAGCACTTGGGGAATGAACAGGTGAAACACACTATACAAATGAACCAATGGATGAGAACTCTTCTCTCTCTCCCTCCCTCCCTCCCTCTCCCCCTCTCCTTTTCCCCTTCTCTCTCCCCCTCTCCCCCTTTCTCCCTCTCTCCTTCTTCCTCTTTTCCCTTCTCCCTCTTTCCCTCTCTCCCTCTCTCTCTCTCTGCCTCTGTGTGTGTGTGTGTTTCACTATCAATTTTTTAAAAGCTTCTAATAAATAAAATATTAATTCTGTATGAATTTCACTTCTTATACCATTTCCAGGCTTTCGTTTTGGTGTCTACTTTTCTCAATCTTTCCCCTTTTTATTTTATTTTTTTAAGATTTATTTATTTGAAAGAGTTACACAGAGAGAAGAAGAGGCAGAGAAAGAGAGGTCTTCCATCTGCTGGTTCACTCCCCAGTTGGCCGCAATGGCCGGAGCTGAGCTGATCCAAAGCCAGGAGCTGAAGCTTCCTCCAGGTCTCCCACATGGGTGCAGGGGCCCAAGGACTTGGGCCATCCTCTACTGCTTTCCCAGGCCACAGCAGAGAGCTGGATTGGAAGTACAGCAACCAGGACACAAACCGGCACCCATATGGGATGCCAGCACTGCAGGTAGCGGCTTTACCTGCTGTGCCAATTGGGGATGGAACCAATGGAATTATTTATTTATTTAGCAGGCAGAGTAAGAGCGAGGGTGTGAAAGAGAGAGATTTCCATTCACTTGTTTACTACCCAAAGGGATACCAAGTCGAAATCAGGAGCCAGGTACTCCATCTGGGTCTCCCACATAGGTGACAGGGGTCCAAGTATTTGGGCCGTCTTCACTGCTTTCCCAGGTGCATTAGCAGGAAAATGGATCACATATGGAATAGTCTGGATTCAAACCGGCACTCATATGGGATGCTAGTATCGCAGGTGTTGGCTTAACTCACTGTGTCACACTGCTAGCCCCTCTTCTTTCCTCTCTATCTCAGTTAAATCTGCTCCATGTCCTCATTCCTACCTCTTGTTCTTCAGCCTCCTCTATTTTTTTTTTTTGCCAGTTTCTCATTGGTATCTGTTGTCTCCCAACTAGTGTTTTTTTCCTTCCCAGTAAAATTTGAATCTTCCAATTTCAGATGGACTCATTACATTCACTCCCCAAATCCGTCTCACTCAGTGGTGTCCTTGACTGCTAACAGGATCTAACTGGAAATTGGATGTCATCCTCTCCTCATCCCTCATTTTCAAGCAATCACCCAGTGTAAATTTTACTGTCTAAAGTTTTCTTAAGATGGTAATATTTATCTCCGAATAAATATTAAAATGAATTAATATCTTTGTTTATATCTTGCAATAGCCTCTAGTATTGCCCTTTCTTTAATCTGTTCCCTATATTTCTATGGCTTGAAATGATCTGTCTTAAAGACAGATTTGATCATGTGACTCTCTTTTTAAAAATTCTTAAACTGGCGCCAGGGTTGTGGCATAGCACGTAAAGCCGTTGCCTGCAACACCAGTATCTCATACAGGCGCCAGTTCGTGTCCCAGTTGCTCCACATTTGATCTAGCTGCTCTCTCTCTTTCTCTGTCTCTCCCTCTCTTTCTGTAACTCATGACTTTCAAAATAGATAAATAAATCTTTTTTAAAAAAAAGTAAAGTTCTTCAGTGAATTCCCACTGCATTCAGGAGGGTCTCCAAGCTTATGAGATCTGTCACAATGCGGCTCCTTTTACCTCTCCAGCACCACTTCTCATTACTCTCCTCTCACATGCAGACTCAGCCGTCATCAGCTTGGAAAGCCTGGAGAATTTAATGATTGAGCATGGGCTTACTAGTGATAGCCAGATCTAGACTGAATTTCCTCTTCCACCATCCACTGACATGTGAACATGCAGAAGTTATTTAACTTCTCTGAGGCTCATTTTTTTTTTTTGCTCATATGTAAAATTAAGCTAATAACTGACAGATAGGATTATTAATGAGTTGTCATATAGAAACCTTGGCACAATAATATTCAATAAGGAATGGCAGTGGTGATGATTGTAAACCCAGTGATTATCCCATGCTCTCTCTAGTCTCTGAGTCTATGTATATGATGTGCAAATTTCCCACTTCACAGCCTGGATTTCTCTACCTCCTTATATATCTTAGCATATGCAGTCTCTATAGAAAATCTCTGATCTTCTGTGTCTAGATTCGATACACCTCTTATGTGTTTTTATAGCACAGTTTTTCAACCATGGCTTGTTAACATTTGGGGCTATACAATTCTGTTTGAAGGCTGTCCTGAACATAGGAGGATGTTAATAGCATTCTTGGCTTCTACCTACTAGATACCGGTAGTACACTGGTTTTCTCCAAATTGTGATAAGCAAAGATAAATGTCTCCTGGCACTGCCAGATTTCCTCTAGGGAACAAATTTGCTCCAGTTAAGAACTACTCCTCATTATAACATTATTGAAATATGTTATTATTACTTATTTGTATCTTTCAATAACCTTGAAAACCTTTGACAGTAACTTACTTGTCTTGTTCACTGTTAAATCTCCAGTGTCTTGCATTAGTGTTTGGCTCATAAATACAGACTCAGTAAAGTTCCACTAATTAAGTGTATTGCAACTTGTATTCTCATTAGCACTCAAGAATTTCTTCTTATCTTTCCTGTTCACTTACTTTGCCAGTGCCCGGTGAAAGTTAATCTATTGTTGCTTCCAGCCTAAGCACTGCCAAATACAGTTGTTTAGGAAAACTGCTGAATGAGCTGTGCTGTAGAGTGTGATACTGGTAACCTGCAGTGGCTGTAGGTTCTGTCCCCTTGTTCTTTTCTCTGTAGTTGAATACCGTCTGTACTCTACACAGG